ATATATAATATATATGTAAACTAACCGAATAATGAGATTTGAACTAATACGTTCCATTACATCCTGTAATTTGTTTACTATTATCATAAATTATTCATTGCAGTATAATTTTACAGTAATAATTCTTTTTTTTGTTAGAAATACTAGTTGATTTCAATAATTTGAAGTAATCAAACAAAAAGTCTAAACCGATTATGTTATATCGAAAATTCGTCAAATTATTGAAAATGTATGATGAAATTTCTCACCTTTTCCGGTGTACCTAAATAGTAAACGATAATTTTAACTTGACTTCCGGCATCTTTCCCCGGAAACAACTGCCGACGAAGAAGCATTTCAGCGAATATGCAACCAGCTGACCAAATGTCCACTCTGTAGCAAATGATCAGTGATATAGTTGTTATGAACTGATTTAAAAAGTATTAGTAATCAAATACTTGTAATTAATTTACCTTAGATTGTAGGAAAAGTGCAGCGTCGAAATGTCAACTTACTTTGTGTCATAATCAATGAGTGAAAAAAGCAGCTCAGGTGCTCTATACCATCTTGTTGAAACATATTGCTGAAATTGATATTAATTTAAATCAAATTTTAATAAAAAGACAAAACATTTAATTTGTATTAATTTTTTCATTACTCTTTTAGTATCATTATAATAGTATAGAGGTAAATCATATGAATTAAATTTTAAAAAAAGCTAATTGCTCTAACATACGGTCATATAATTATCATTTAATAAAGCATTTTGATCATCCAATCGTTGTTCAATCAATCGAGCCATCCCAAAATCGCCTATTTTCAGTAAACAATCACTGTTTACCAATAAATTTGATGGTTTTAAATCACGATGCACTATATCAACCGAATGTAAATACTACAAATGTTGCAAATTACAATGAATTAAAATTCATTAAAAATTATATTTTGTGGATAAAATGTATCATAATATTAAAAGAAAAAATTATTATCAAATGTAAAATTAAAATTATACTTTTTCCCTCTATAAGGCCTCATTTCATTTTTTCCATTGATAAACTCTACAAATAGCATATTGACCTTTAATCCACGTAATATCTGATATAAAAAATATTGATAATGTTGATTGGTAAGATCCTGTCGACTGTGTATAATTTGATGTAAGTCAGTTTCCATCAAATCAAGTACCATATAAACATCCAGACCCTATAATTTAAATGTTCATACATAAATCTATCGTATTATTTCATTGTTGAGAAGCAATCGATTTATCTTAACTCTTCAATTGTTTAATATGACAATAATTGAAAACTGATAAGAAATGTTGGGTGATATAGATTTGAGCATACTAAAATATTTATATATATCCAGTATGAAATATATATAATTATC